CCTGTTCCACTGCTCACCCCCAGCCCCAACAACCAGCTTAACCTGATCAAACGACAGTGTTACCAGATTGGGCGGGTGCCTGCCCTATTGGGCTTCTTTTGACTACGTCGGGTGGGGAGGGAAAGCCTTAGGCGGGCAGATAATATCTGGGCTACTTTCAACAAGTATAGGTGGTTTTTTGTTTTCACACCATCATACATTTCATTCAATAAATACATCAATGTAATTAAGGCTGGTGCTACAACCTGGTACAATGCATCTTTCCTGTTAAGGTTAATGTAAATTCTGCACTGTCTCTGTCTTATTAAATAAAATAACTCATGTAAAAGCATGGATTGCACATGTCCTGTAGGATCCGTCCAAGGCATGGTGCAAGTACTGCAAGAGCAAGATACAAGCTCAACTAAGAGACCTCAAAGATCATGCTGAAACAAGTAAGTAAGTAAGTCTTTATTTATATAGCGCTTTCACAGACATTTTCTGTCCCCAAAGATGCTTTACACAGCATCATTCATTCAGCATTCATTCATTCACTCTATACCCTGGTGATGGTAAGCTACTATTGTAGCCACAGCTGCCCTGGGGCACACTGACAGAGGCGAGGCTGCCATGTCACTCTGTCTCCTGAATATGAATGTTAGCATTAGGTTGTTCGCTTGGCCAACAAGCTTTGGAGAGGGTAACATCATGAATGATCAGAAGAAAAGGGAACTTCAAATCGCAACATAAGTGGCCTGCCACACGTCAATCAATGCTGTGAATGACCTGTCTGATATAACAGAAGAAGAATTTGGAGAATTCAAAATGCACCGCACAGAGTGAACACCCATCATAAAATCAGTGCTGGCCCCTCACTTTAGATGTGAGCTAAAAAGCGATATAGGTGAGTCCCCATTCTCCCTCTACTTGGATGAGACCACCAATATATTTGTCAATAAACTGCTGTGCATATGCATTAATTATTGATTAATTAAACATGGCAAATTCATCAGCTGGTACCTGGGATTAGTTGAACTGACTAGCGCAAACGCCAGGGTCATCACAGACGTGATACTTACCTTCATGCAAGAGTATGGCCTAAACATTAAAAACATGGTAAGGATGGAGCGAGAGTTATGGTAGAAAAAAAATCACGCTGTGTACACTTTCAAAGAAATACTGCCCTATCTAAAATTTATAAAGTATGTTTGGCATTCACTGGATATAGTGGCAAATAAGGCCATGGATCAACTCCTGAGCCATGTCGACTTTATGATAAGGGAAACCTACAACCTACAGTCGCTCAGCCAAGAGACAATCTGACTACATAATTCTCTACAAAACACTTACTGATGGATTGTGCCCACTGAAATTACAGTCACCATGCACTACTCATTGGTTTGGTGTAGCTGACTGTATCGACAGAATTTTACAACAGCGGGATGCGCTGAAGCTGCACTTCAGTGTTGCAGCCAGTGCGGAACACTGCTACACGGCAAGGCTGCTGAGCAAAATGTACAGTGATCAAGCAAACAGACTTTACATGCACTTCTTTTAGCCAGTCTTGGGGGAAATAAAAACAGTGAATAAGCTCTTTCAACTGGAGAGAGGCAACTCTACAGGTGTCTTTCAGTATCTTGAGAGACTTTACTTGTCCACTCTGCAGAGAATCGCAAAGCCCAGTGTTTTTAGAGTGAACGGCAACTGTCACCTCAGAGAACTCAATCTAATATCAACCAGCATATGCCTCTCCCCTCAACGTGCAGTCTTGGGCACCACATCTCAAGATGAGGTCAGCGTGAGCGCACTGAGCACTGAAAAAAGGAAATAATCTCTGAGAGGTGCTTTGCTTTTATCAAAGAACTGTTGGTGCAATATCAAATGCATTTAACCGAATCGCTGGCTATGCTGCGGAAAATGGAGCTGCTCTTCCCTACGTCAGTGATGTCCACCATAAACAGACCAAGGGTCAGAGAGTTGCTGATGGAGCTTTTTACATGCTCCATTGACATCTTGGACTGTCAGTGGAGAAATGTTGCATCAGCTGGCTTCTCAAGTGACCAGGATAATTACAGGTTTTGGATGGAGACTGAAACTTTCAAAGACGCTGGGGGAAATTCATGTTTTAAAGAACTTGTACTGGGTGCCATCAGATTGCTGTCTCTGCTAATACTCAGTGCCCACATAGAGAGAACATTTTCCCAAGTGGCACTCTTGAAAGATAATGCAAGGAACCGTATGAGACTTTCCATTTTGGATATTGTACACAGTACCCAAAGTTAATCTTGCTTTGTTGCAGAACATGCGGTAACACTGTGAAGGGGGAAGGCAAGTTAGGCCCATTAGTGGTCTCAAGCGATTAAAAACGTGAAAGGCAGGTCAGTGAAATACTTGGCCCGCACTCATAAACATCAGATACGGAAAAATTTGTGCTCATCCATGTGAGAATTTATGGATTTTCTCCATCCATCCATCCATCCATTTTCTTCCGCTTATCTGGGGCCGGGTCACGGGGGAACAGCAGTCTAAGCAGGGACTCCCAGACTTCCTACCTACCCCAGACACGTCCTCCAGCTCTTCCGAGTTTCCGGGCTCTCTTTATGGATTTTCTGTGTACTGTAATCACGTGTCATCAGAGCACCTCCTGAATACAGTGTTTCTCCTGTCAGTTAAACCTTCCAGCCCAATTTACATGCATGACTGGTCAAAACGGCATTAATTTGTGGATCATACGTACATTTGTTTGGATTAATCGCATGCATTAACCCATGAACGTTGACAGCCCATACTGCCCATTACAGACCTTATGATTTAAGTGAATAATCAAGTCCAACATTGTTGGATCTTACTACCGGATGTGTTCTTGATATTATCCACATGTAGGCTAACTATATGAAAGTCTATCTAAAAACATGCAAACTAATCAAGCACTGGCCCAGGGTTCTACTGCCCTACAATTATTCATGGTTTCAGCCTCTTGTTATAGGTGACATTTTGACGACTTCTGGCTATTTAAAAGATGGCAGATGCTATTTGCACCCTGGGTGTAAATAGCTAACATTGTTATTCACACATAGGGCAAATAGCCATTGTTACTATTTACACCCGGGTGTATTTAACGTGGCACCCAGAAGGGCACCCAGGTGTTCCTAGATAAAAATGCTATTTACAACCAGCTTATTTATTAAAAAAAACAAAAAACAAACCTAACTGACAGTGCAAACATAAAGGCACCAGCCCAGTGAAAATCAGTAATATTTGATGGCTTTTTTTACTCAAAATGATGCGGAATCATCGATCAATTATTTGCAGTCTGCACATAATGGTTTAATCCCGGTTAAATCCTGTTTTAGTCCTGGTTTAGAATTGGTTTTAGTTCTGGTTTAGTCCTGCTTTTAGTCCTGGTTTTAGTTCTGGTTTAGAGGCACATGGGAAGAGGCATGGTCCATGCGCTGTACGGGAGGACACGCAGCGTACGGGAGGAAGCACGGCGTATGGGAGAACACGTGACGTACGGGAGGAAACGTGGCGTACGGGAGGAAACGCGGCTTACGGGAGCGGGAGGAGACGCATACGGTCTATGGGTAACGCCAAGGTAAGGGACCACTATTGGTTTGCGGGGCCCTACTCAGTGTGCGCACTGTACGTATTGGGTGAACCGGTACTGACACTGTCATGCAGTGTGATAGCGTGGAGCCATGTGAAAAAAAATCCACGATAACCAGTGGGTTTGGAAAGGCTGGACTGCTGCGTGATGAAGAGGACAGCACACACGTAAGGGAGAATTTGCCTGGAGACGAAAGTGACACGGGAACCGACGTAAATAAAATGACTGTACATGAGTGAAATGACTGTTGAATAGAGATGCACTGAACCTGCACACATACGATCTTCACATGTATGATCTCTGTAAAATTTTACATGAACCATCTCCAGAATAGACTCACCGTTGCCCGACAGAAGCTCCACATCAGGGCACAGAGCGAACTGTTTGTTCGGCGGGTATTTTATACAGATTAGCCTTGTGGCGTTTCGTTTTTGTGCGCAAAGCTGCATTAAATACATTATAATCTCAAACGGGCTGATGTCGCTCTATAGTGATTATGGTGCTTATGAGAGCCAAAAGCTTACATTTGACCCACTTTTAATGTTACCATTATCTTACTCGAGGCTGTACTTGAACTGCTGAATAGACAGATCAACTAGCATAACCACTAGCTATACATCGCACAAGCTAAATAAACTGTCCATGATGCTGTGATGCCTTCAACTTAATTACCCAAGCATTAATGGTCGGACAGGTATTGCAAATATATTTTTTAGCAACATTGACTTACCTTTTACCTTACCCTACCTTCGTTTTGAATTTTATTTCTTTGGATTCTCAAATCCAGCTTCCCACACTTTTCACAGGTAACGACGTAAGCGTCTTTCTCACCTTCAGTGATAATCATAGCCATGGGGCTATTTCTGACATATTAACATTGTATGCTCATTAGTATGCATTGTCCCTTTAAAAAAATAAATCTAAATCTAAAAAAATAAAATAAAATCCTAATTAGTGACACTTGGTGTGTTTGTTTTTGGAGGCAAATAGTTTTGTATTACTGTGGTATTAAACCCTAAAACCTAACTCCAGCTGACTAACCACATTAAAGCTGTTATTTGTAAGTTTATTTATTTATTTATTTATTTTTTGTTGTTGTTTTTTTTTTTTACCATTAGATGTTAGTTTTGAAACCTGTTCCCCCCTCCCCTCACCTGGCCTTTGTTCAGGTTGTGCTTTCTGGTCTTCATGCTTTCTGTCAAGCTATCTCACTATGAGACTGCGTTAAAGTAGATAACATCTAATGATGTTAAGTGAGAATACAGCAGGTCAGCCAATATAATTACAAAGGGTAGCTTTAAAGAGTTAAATGATTCAAATATGAAACTGTTCAAAATAGCACAACAAGAGAGAGGTTTGTCATCTTTATTTAACAAATAAACTCAACAGAAAGTTGGATTCTTTGTGATGATTACTATCCTCTCATATTTTCCTGGTTGCCATGTTCAGGGCTCTTACACTCATAGCCACAGCCGCTGTAGCAGCATTTGAGGTTCTTGTCACATTCGCTGTCGTTGGAGCATTGATCATCACATGTAGTTAAATGGTTGATCGGAGCAGGACAGGATCCTGGTTTGGTTCCTGTGGAGATAAAAAAACAGAAATAACAGTATTAAAGGTGCACTGTGACTTTTCTGGTGGAGGGTCGGCCACATCCTTATCTCCGTGGAGATGTTATTGATTCATTCATAAAAAATATACCCTTTGGTGGTTGCTGTTACTGTCTTGATCATGTTTTACATAGTGCCTTATATAGTAATCCCAGACGACCAAAACGAGTTTTAAAGGGTATATTACCCATGACTGACTGGCTCCTCACAGGTTCGCCCACAGCTGTTGAAGCAGCATTTCAGATTCCTCTCACAGTCTTGGTCAGAGTCGCATGTCTTGAGACAGATCCCAAAGCCATCTTCTTTAGGACACGACCCTGGTTTGGGTTTAGGCACTTCTGTGGACATTTAAGAAATTAAGAAGAAGTCGTTCATTAAGAAAGCACTAAAATATATCTAAAAATATTCTCAGTAACAAGAAAAAAATAATTTACACAGAGAGGTGAGGCAAGAATATCGTAAGATTTGATCACTCTAATTTACTGACAAAACACAAGCAATAATTTAAAAACAACATCCTCATATATTCCAGGGGGACATATTACCTCTAAGTGGCTCTTGACACAGGTGCCCACAGCCGGTGTAGCAACACTTCAAGTTCCTATCACAGTCCCTGTCTGTGGAGCACTGCTCCAGGCAAAGGCCGATCTTAGCATCAGTGTTCATAACGCTCACTGGACAACGTCCATCTTTGTCTGAAGTCACAAGAAACACAATTTTAATGAGAAATGTATATATATATATATATATATTAGGGCCGGGCACGTTAACTGCGTTAACTAATTAAGTCATTAACGCCGACAATTATTTTAACGACATTAACGCAGTTTTTATTATTTATTTATTTATTTTATTGTAAAAGTCTGTTTCTCACTGGCTTTTATTTAGAAAAAGTCCACCGCGAGCGTTTCTTTAAGTTTGACGTCTTTTCTTCACACTTTTTTTCACTTTTTTTCTGACCACATAAGATGCAATGTGCCCGAGCCTCCGCGAGCCACGGCTACGGCCGCGGGTTCGGCCGCAGGCTCCGACTCCGGCGGCGGACTCAGCCGTGGGCACCGGCTCTGAGCTGATCTTATTTCTTTAGTTCAGTGCTGGAGTAACTGATTTAACCAGATACCATTGAAAGAACAAATGTGATTGGTCCATTTCCATTCCATTAAGAAATATAAGTCCAAGTTTATAACACTGATCTAGAAATTATTACTAGTGTAGTGTTCATTACTCACAGCATAAAAAATATTCAATAAATATATTAGTTGTACAAACGTCCATTCAATATTTTTTCTTGAGCCTTCCCTGAATACCTTGAAGGCTCTGAGGATTCCCCTGTGAAAGAAATGCTGTTTGCACAACAAATGTATGGCTCTTTCATTTACATTTACAATAAAAGAGCGCTATACTCTACTTTTTAATTCATTAATTGGTTTTGCGTATAACATGCAATTAATCGCGATTAATCGCTCAAACTCATGCGATTAATCGCGATTATTTTTTTTTATTTTTGCCCAGCCCTAATATATATATATATATATATTAGCTTCAAGGTGCTCAACCTTCAGGTTGAAGGCTCACTATCTGATTGTCTCCATGGAGATCTTAATGTCTTTTATTTAATGTTTTGCAATAAATTTAATAATGCAATATATACAAATGTTCCAGTTCAATGCATGTGTGATGAAGTAAATCTTACCAAAGAATTGTGACTATACAACAGACATTCTATGTTTTCCATTTAAAAGTATATTCAATGTGACTGACCTTTCAGAGCGGAGAGCAAAGGCACAAAGGCCACAGTCAGGAGGCAGAGGACAGAGCACTTCATGTTGTTCACCACAGACACAGACACATTAAACTGAGGTACGAGCTTCTATTTATCCACCTAAAGTACAGCCTCAGCATTGAACTCATATTACATCATAGTGCCTTCCCTGCATTAAACATGAGCATACAGGGACTTCTATGGGTGTGGATCAGGCACAATGTCATTAGGATTCCAATTGTGGATGGACCAGATCAATTGTGGGTGGGCCTTAAATTAAAGATGTCATCAAATCCCTGTTTATCCTAATAAAATGACAGACTAATATACTGTTATATTCTTTGTGCATTATAGAGACTTGAATAGCTTCATGCTTATTTAAATATTTTGTTGCATTGTAAAAACTTTACAATAACAAAACTCCTGCCAAAAGTTTTGTCAACACACCAAGGGGTTAAACAGCTGATTGTGCATGTGGGTGCAGTGGACATCAAAATGGAACAGAGTGAAGTCTTAAAAAGGGATTTCACTAAATTATTTGAGGAGCTTAATAAAGTGGAGGTTAAGACATTTATCAGTGGACCTCTTCCCAACATAGACCTAAGGAACAGGAAAAAATTTACCCGACTGTTTCAGCTGAACACGTGGCTGCTGAACGTGTGTGCGGCCAGAGGATTGCACTACATTGAGAACTTTGATCTTTTTTGAAAAGGGAGGACCTGTTTGAGGGAAATGGCCTAAGCAGAGGTGGAGTGAGAGTGTTGACGGAAAACCTCTTCCACGCTCTGAGGCACCGGCCTGGACAGGGTCCTGTGCATCCAGTGAGAGAAAAAGAGAAATGGGAGAAGCATCCCTACTGCACCAAACAGAGAACCAGCCAACAAGTCAGCACCATTGACAGCACCACCGCTGCCACAACCACTTCTCACTCCCCCAGAGAACAAGTTAGCAGTATCACCACCTTCCCCTCCCCCAGAGAATGAGTCAGCAACACCACCACCACCTCCCCCAGCGCCACCAGCACACCCATCACCTCCACTGCCCACAGACCAGCCTGGAGTCCCCTTTGTTACATCTACTCCTTCACTCTCCTTCTCCTCCCCACCTCCTCCCAATCATCTAGAAAGCCTCATCAGATCGGGAATCAAGATGGTTCCTCTCACACCTAACATAGCACGGTCAAGTGTTCTGACATCAACTATGCTGAACTCTCCCACATACAAAACTGTGCCTGTTTCACCACCAGAGTCTCTCTCAGCTCTCCCCTCTAATTTTTTCACCCAAACCTCCCCCTACTCCACCTCCTCGGTCCTTACATGGTCCCTCACCCAAACCTCCCCGTATTCCACCTCCTCGGCCCTCACCTGGTCACTCACCCAAACTCTCCCCTGCTCGCCCTCCCCCGCCTTTCCCCAGAGCTGTTATCACCAAGAGCTAGGACGCACAGGGCCTCTGCTGTCCCAGGACATACAGTCATGATAAAGGTAATATCAGGCTGGGGCCCTGCGATGGAGCTATATCTACAGTTACAACACGTAGACGGATTAAAAGAAGGACAGTTAGACTGTCTAATCAGAGAAATTTAGTTCACATTCCCTGTAAGAAGATAACATCCAGTCCTACTGAAACTAATCAGAAACTTGCTGTGCTCAATGTCAGATCTTTATGTAACAAATCATTTCTAATTCATGATTTTATTTCTTCTTTTAATCTTGACTTTATATTTTTTTTAACTGAAACATGGCTTGACAAAAACACAGGTCATGCAGTGCTAGTGGAATCAACCCCTCCTAACTTCAAATTTGAATCTGAAACACGAGCAAATAAAAAGGGTGGAGGAGTGTGTGCATTTTTTAGAGATCATTTGGTTACACACAGGTTGTCATTTGGGGTGTTTTCATCATTTGAGTATGTTTCCTTCAAAATGGAGCTAAAACAATCACTGTCCATACTCTACATCACAGCTGTCAAACATAAGGCCCGGGGGCCAGATCCGGCCCTCGAAGACCTTGAATGTGGCCCTTGGCTGATTTTCTACTAAAATATTTTAATTATATTTTCAATTAAAATATTGGTCATTTTCTGTGGTGTTTATCACAGCAGCATCTCCAGCGTCTCTGTGCTTGAGAAAAGTGGAGCCGAGTGCAGGATTTTCCAAGAAAAATTTACTTATTCCTATTTACATACAAGTTCATGTTAAAACATTGTGTTGAAATTTCTTCAAGTTTCAGGTTGTTCATAAAATTATAATATTTTATAAAAAAAAGAGTTCATCAATAAAAAATAAAAAAAAGTGTAATAGATTTGCGTTTCTCTGCACAAATATTTGAACTTATTGTTTTTGGGGTTTATATGCCATGAGTTTTTTGATCCGGCCCCTTTGGATGAAAGTAGGTTGGATACGGCCCCCAGACGAAAATGAGTTTGACACCCCTGCTCTACATAGTCATATACAAACCTCCTCAGCACTGTCAAAGTTTTATTGATGATTTTACTGAGATGCTTTCAGTTGTTTGCACAGACTTTGATGGTTTAGTCATTACAGGTGATTTTAATGTACATGTGGATAATGTGTGTGACAAAAATGCCAAAGAGCTTAGTGTTGTCCTTGAAACTTTTGGTCTGACTCAGCATGTTAGTGAGCCCACTCACAACAGAGGGCACACTCTGGACCTGCTCATTACAAAGGGTGTAAATATTTCAAATGTCAATGTGGTTGATGTTGCTCTGTCTGATCATTTCTGTGTCTTCTTTGACCTGTCTGTTATTCCCAAACCACCGGCTGCTCCTACAGTTGTTCGAAGAAGACACATAAATGATAACACAGGTGCACTGTTCATGGAAATGATAAATTTTGAAATTGCCTCATGTTCTAATATTGATGATGTGTTGAACTCTGTGACTTTGAGTGTTTTGAATGTTCTGGATGCAATCGCCTCGATAAAGGTTAAAATGGTTAAAGATAGGCAAAAAGCTCCGTGGAGGAATGATGACTCAGTCAGAGCACAGAAAAGGGAGTGCCGGAAGGCTGAGTGGAAATGGCGCAAGTCAAACCTCCAGGTTCATTATGAGATTTACAGAGGAACAATGCATATGTACAACTACACTTTGAGTAAAACAAGAGAGAAGTATTTTTCCGACATTATTGGTAATTGCAGTAACAACTCTCGTGTCCTGTTTGCAACAGTGAACAGATTAACAAACCCTCCAGCTCCACTGCCACTAGAACTAATTTCCACATCTAAATGTAATGAGTTTGCAGTTTTCTTTAATGACAAAGTTCAGGGCATCAAAAAATGCCATCAATTCCACAACACAAATAACAAGCATGCAGCCACAGAGACACTTAGAGCTGAATCACTTTGCACCTGTAACTGACAAAACTGTTTTAGAGATCGTTACCAGTCTGAGTTCATCTACTTGCTGCCTGGACATGTTACCCACTAGATTTCTAAAGTCTGTCCTCAACAGTTTACTTTCACCACTCACTCACATAGTTAACATGTCACTTCAATCTAGAACATTCCCAAATGCGTTGAAAACTGCGGTCATTAAGCCTCTCCTAAAGAAGAGCAGTCTTAATGCCACAGTACTGAACAATTTCCGACCCATCTCAAATCTGCCATTTTTTGGCAAAGTCCTTGAAAAAGCTGTTTACCAACAGCTTACGAACTTTCTCCAAATGAACAACTCCTTTGATGTTTTCCAGTCAGGTTTTAGAGCCCACCACAGCACTGAGACTGCTCTTATCAAGGTGACAAATGACATCCGCCTGAACACTGATGCAGGCAAAGTCTCAGTCTTGATCCTGTTAGATCTGAGTGCTGCTTTTGACACTGTCGATCATGGGATCCTCTTACAGAGACTAGAAGACTGGGTGGGCATCTCTGGTACTGTACTAAACTGGTGTCCAAAGACAATAGAAACAGAACCTTTGAATGAGTCACTTATAACACTTGGAAATTGTCTTGATCTGTTTTTCATTAAAGCATTTATTAGCTAAATGGTGCACAATGCAACCATCTAGTGGAGGGAACAACTCCATGGAGATCTTGGCCTGTTTTAATTTGGCCCTCTTGCAAGTTTTGGTTACAATAATTATAGCATAGTAATAGAAAACAGCTTATATTTAACAGAAATGTGCATATGAGCAAATGCCTGGATTCAAATATAATTCTCTGGGAGAAAAATAATTGCTGCATAACCTAGAATATTTCACAGAAGAGCATTAAACTCATCTCTCTATGGAGAGCTCTCCAAATTAAATAAAATGACAGATTTTTGTTTTTCTGTAAAACAGTATTTGAATAAACACAAGATGTACAGGTTTAATACATGCATCACGAATTCCGGACTTCCGCTCATCGTGCAATGCATACTGCAAAGGATCCTCCGAAAAAGTGAGCATCAAACCGCCATGTTTGAACCAGAAACAAAAGTGATATGGTTCAAAAGACTTGAAAAGATCGCATCCCATGCTCACTTATTTCAGAAAATCCTTCCCAGTATGCATTGTGCAATGACCGGAAGTCCGAAATTTGTGATGCATGTATCCCAAACTGTGGAAGAATCCAGACCTAATAGTGATCACATCCCTCTGTTCTCTTTCTCGGTTTAAACTTACAGGTGTAGTATTCAAAGTGACTGACCTTCCACAGCAGAGAGCAGAGTCACAAAGGCCAGGGCCACAGTCAGGAGGCAGAGGGCAGAGCACTTCATGTTGTTCACAACAGACACAGACACACACATGTGAAACTCATGTACAGCTTCTATTTATTCACCTGAAGTACAGCATCAGCCGATGCTGGGTTCTTGTGCCCGCCCTGCATTATACAGGAGCATAATGGAACTTTGAAATTAATACTAATAATAGTAATGACATTAATTTACTCCTATTTCTTTCTCACCTTCCACCTCCCTGTGGTATTAAACCCTGAAACCTAACTCTAGCTGACTAACCACATTAAAACTTCCATCTGTAAGTTTTTTCCTTTTTTTGTTTTTTTACCAGTAGATGTCAAATTTGAAATCTATTTCCCCATCCCCTCACCTGGCCTTTGTTCAGTTTGTGCTTTCTAGTTTTCTTCTGTCAAGCTATCACACTATCACCATCTGATGATGTTATGTGAGAATATAGTTATATATAATTATAATATATATATAGTTATATAATTACAAAGGATAGATTTAAAGACTTAAATGATTAAAATATGAAACTGTTCAAACTAGCACAACAAGAGAGGGGTGTGTGTCATCTTATGACTTATGTTTATTTAACAAATAAACACAACAGAAAGTTGGATCACAGGGAATGCAACAACATTTTAATGCAAAAATAACTAGGCTGACAAACTTGTTTATTTAAAGGTTTATTTATGGGAACTGCACAATGTCTTTGCAAAGTCAGAAAAGAGATGGAGTTTAATAGTCATATATATATATATATATATATATATATATATATATATATATAGAGAGAGAGAGAGAGAGAGAGAGAGAGAGAGAGAGAGAGAGAGAGAGAGACAGAGATACATATATATAACAGTGCAGTGCTTTGTGATGATTATTATCCTTTCACATTTTCCTGGTTGCCATGTTCAGGGCTCTTACACTCGTAGCCACAGCCGCTGTAGCAGCATTTGAGGTTCTTGTCACATTCGCTGTCGTCAGAGCATTGATCATCACATGTAGTGAAATGGGGGATTGGAGCAGGACAAGATCCTGGTTTGGTTCCTGTGGAGATAAAAACAGAAATAACAGTATTAAAGGTGCACTGTGATTTTTCTGGTGGAGATTCGGCCAAACTCTTAGCTTCCCATAGATGTTATTGATTCATTCATAAAATAAAAATAATAAAATATGCCCTTTGGTGGTTGTTGTTACTGTTTTGATCATGTTTTACATAGTGTATTACATAGCAATCCCAGATGACCAAAACAAACACAGAAGGGTGTCTTACTTATGACTGGCTTTTGACAGGTTTGTCCGCAGCCATTGGAGCAGCATTTCAGGTCCTCCTTACAGTCTTGGTCAGAAGTGCATGAATGGATGCAGATCGCAAAGCCGTCTGGAGCAGGGCACAATCCTCGTTTGGGTTTAGGCACTGTGGACATTTAAGAAGTTACAATTAAAATTGTGATTTTGCCACAGATTGGCAGCCTTGCCAATATAGTGTTTATCATTAAAAAGAACATGATCAACTCAAAAAAATGTATGATGGTATAAAAGATTGTATGTACAGAATGTTGAATGTATGTTAGTTTTATAACAAACCAACTTCATTATTATTTTTTTTCAAACAATTAATTCAACTGAAATCAGAATATGATCCGGTGCTTGTATTGTGAAAGAGTATCACTGAACAGTCAATTATCCCTGAGTCATTTTAAATGGCAGGTCAACTAAACAAACACTGAAGGATGTATTACCCTTGACTGGCTCCTGACAGGTTCGCCCACAGGCGTTGGAGCAGCATTTCAAGTTCCTCTCACAGTCTTGGTCAAAGTTGCATGTATTGATACAGATCCCAAAGCCGTCTGCTCTAGGACACGATCCTGGTTTGGGTTTAGGCACTTCTGTGGACATTTAAGAAGTTAAGAAGAAGAAGTTCATTAAGAAAGCACTCAAATATATTTTAAAAATATTCTTAGTAACCACAAAAAAGTAATTTATACAAAGAGGTGAGGAATGTAGGATAAAAGGATAATGTAGGACTTGATCACTCTCCTTTACTAAGAAACCACAAGCAATAATTTAAAAACAACATCCTCATATATTCCAGGGGGACATGTTATCTCTAAGTTGCTCGTAACACAGGTGCCCACAGCCGGTGTAGCAACACTTCAAGTTCCCCTCACAGTCCTTGTCTGTGGAGCACTGCTCCAGGCAAAGACCAAGCCGACCATCAATGTTCATAGCACTCACTGGACAAGGTCTATCGTTCTCTGAAGCCACTAAAAACACAATTTTAATGAGAAAAAAATGTCATTATATAATTGAATAGCTTTAAGGTGCTCATCTTTTAGGTAGAGGGTTCACCATCTGATTGTCTCCATGGAGATGCTCTTATCTTATAAATTGAATAATGCAATATATACAAATGTTCCAGTTCAATGCATTTGTGATGTAGTAAATCTTACCAAAACAAACAAGTTGATACAACCAGTTGACATTGTGGGAAAATGACACCATATGAAGCTATGTGAGGTCATAGAATTGTGACTATACAACATAGACATTCTACGTTTTCCATTTAAAAGTATATTCAAAGTGACTGACCTTTCAGAGCGGAGAGCAAAGGCACAAAGGCCACAGCCAAGAGGCAGAGGACAGAGCACTTCATGTTGTTCACCACAGACACAGACACGTTAAACTGAGGTACGAGCTTCTATTTATCCACCTAAAGTACAGCCTCAGCATTGAGCTCATATTACGTCATAGTGCCCTCCCTGCATTAAACATGAGCATACCAGGACTTCTTTGGGTGTGAATCAGGCACAATGGTGTTAGAATTCCAATTGTGGATGGGCCACACCAATTGTGGGTGGGCCTTAAGTTAAAAATGTCATCAAATCTCTGTTTAACCTAATAAAATGACTGACTAATATATTCTTATATTATCTGTGCATAATAGAGATTTGAATAGCTTCATGCCCATTTAAATATTTTGTTGCATTATAAAAACTTTCGGTGCATAGAATGGACCTATCTGCGACCTATCGCTCTCCTTGGTTCTGACCAAAAAAGAGTACTTATAGTATTATAAGGAATGCCAGAAACAGTCCGTTTGGTCACTATTGACTGAAATATATCTATCAAAGCACAATGCACAGCCAGGCTCAAAGTTTACGCAGCAGCACAACCTGTTCCACCATTCACCCCCAGCCCCAACAACCAGCCCAACCTGATACACCGGCAGTGTTACCAGATTGGGCGGGTGCCTGCCCAGTTGGGCTTCTTTTGACTACATCAGGTGGGGAGGGAAAGCCTTAGGCGGGCAGATAATATCTGGGGTACTTTCAACAAGTTTGGGTGGTTTTTGTTTTCACACCATCATACATTTCATTCAATAAATACATCAGTGTAATTTAAGGCTGGTGCTACAACCTGGTACAATGCATCTTTCCTGTTAAGGTTAATGTAAATTCTGCACTGTCTCTGTCTTATTAAATAAAATAACTCATGTAAAAGCATGGATTGCACATGTCCTGTAGGATCCGTCCAAGGCATGGTGCAAGTACTGCAAGAGCAAGATACAAGCTCAACTAAGAGACCTCAAAGATCATGCTGAAACAAGTAAGTAAGTCTTTATTTATATAGCGCTTTCACAGACATTTTCTGTCCCCAAAGATGCTTTACACAGCATCATTCATTCAGCATTCATTCATTCACTCTATACCCTGGTGATGGTAAGCTACTATTGTAGCCACAGCTGCCCTGGGGCACACTGACAGAGGCGAGGCTGCCATGTCACTCTGTCTCCTGAATATGAATGTTAGCATTAGGTTGTTCGCTTGGCCAACAAGCTTTGGAGAGGGTAACATCATGAATGATCAGAAGAAAAGGGAACTTCAAATCGCAACATAAGTGGCCTGCCACACGTCAATCAATGCTCAAACATGGTAAGGATGGAGCGAGAGTTATGGTAGAAAAAAAATCAAGCTGTGTACACTTTCAAAGAAATACTGCCCTATCTAAAATTTATAAAGTATGTTTGGCATTCACTGGATATAGTGGCAAATAAGGCCATGGATCAACTCCTGAGCCATGTCGACTTTATGATAAGGGAAACATACAACCTACAGTCGCTCAGCCAAGAGTCAATCTGACTACATAATTCTCTACAAAACACTTACTGATGGATTGTGCCCACTGAAATTACAGTCACCATGCACTACTCATTGGTTTGGTGTAGCTGACTGTATCGACAGAATTTTACAACAGCGGGATGCGCTGAAGCTGCACTTCAGTGTTGCAGCCAGTGCGGAACAGTGCTACACGGCAAGGCTGCTGAGCAAAATGTACAGTGATCAAGCAAACAGACTTTACATGCACTTCTTTTAGCCAGTCTTGGGGGAAATAAAAACAGTGAATAAGCTCTTTCAACTGGAGAGAGGCAACTCTACAGGTGTCTTTCAGTATCTTGAGAGACTTTACTTGTCCACTCTGCAGAGAGGCTCCGACTCCGGCGGTGGACTCAGCCGTGAGCACCGGCTCTGAGCTGATCTTATTTCTTTAGTTCAGTGCTGGAGTAACTGATTTACCCAGATACCATTGAAAGAACAAATGTGATTGATCCATTTCCATTCCATTAAGAAATATAAGTCCAAGTTTATAACACTGATCTAGAAATTATTACTAGTGTAGTGTTCATTACTCCCAGCATAAAAAATATTCAATAAATATATTAGTTGTACAAACGTCCATTCAATATTTTTTCTTGAGCCTTCCCTGAATACCTTGAAGGCTCTGAGGATTCCCCTGTGAAAGAAATGCTGTTTGCACAACAAATGTATGGCTCTTTCATTTACATTTACAATAAAAGAGCGCTATACTCTACTTTTTAATTCATTAATTGGTTTTGCGTATAACATGCAATTAATCGCGATTAATCGCTCAAACTCATGCGATTAATCGCGATTATTTTTTTTTATTTTTTGCCCAGCCCTAATATATATATATATATATATATATATATATATATATATATATATATATATAGCTTCAAGGTGCTCAACCTTCAGGTTGAAGGCTCACTATCTGATTGTCTCCATGGAGATCTTAATGTCTTTTATTTAATGTTTTGCAATAAATTTAATAATGCAATATATACAAATGTTCCAGTTCAATGCATGTGTGATGAAGTAAATCTTACCAAAGAATTGTGACTATACAACAGACATTCTATGTTTTCCATTTAAAAAGTATATTCAATGTGACTGACCTTTCAGAGCGGAGAGCAAAGGCACAAAGGCCACAGTCAGGAGGCAGAGGACAGAGCACTTCATGTTGTTCACCACAGACACAGACACATTAAACTGAGGTACGAGCTTCTATTTATCCACCTAAAGTACAGCCTCAGCATTGAACTCATATTACATCATAGTGCCTTCCCTGCATTAAACATGAGCATACAGGGACTTCTATGGGTGTGGATCAGGCACAATGTCATTAGGATTCCAATTGTGGATGGACCAGATCAATTGTGGGTGGGCCTTAAATTAAAGATGTCATCAAATCCCTGTTTATCCTAATAAAATGACAGACTAATATACTGTTATATTCTTTGTGCATTATAGAGACTTGAATAGCTTCATGCTTATTTAAATATTTTGTTGCATTGTAAAAACTTTACAATAACAAAACTCCTGCCAAAAGTTTTGTCAACACACCAAGGGGTTAAACAGCTGATTGTGCATGTGGGTGCAGTGGACATCAAAATGGAACAGAGTGAAGTCTTAAAAAGGGATTTCACTAAATTATTTGAGGAGCTTAATAAAGTGGAGGTTAAGACATTTATCAGTGGACCTCTTCCCAACATAGACCTAAGGAACAGGAAAAAATTTACCCGACTGTTTCAGCTGAACACGTGGCTGCTGAACGTGTGTGCGGCCAGAGGATTGCACTACATTGAGAACTTTGATCTTTTTTGAAAAGGGAGGACCTGTTTGAGGGAAATGGCCTAAGCAGAGGTGGAGTGAGAGTGTTGACGGAAAACCTCTTCCACGCTCTGAGGCACCGGCCTGGACAGGGTCCTGTGCATCCAGTGAGAGAAAAGAGAAATGGGAGAAGCATCCCTACTGCACCAAACAGAGAACCAGCCAACAAGTCAGCACCATTGACAGCACCACCGCTGCCACAACCACTTCTCACTCCCCCAGAGAACAAGTTAGCAGTATCACCACCTTCCCCTCCCCCAGAGAATGAGTCAGCAACACCACCACCACCTCCCCCAGCGCCACCAGCACACCCATCACCTCCACTGCCCACAGACCAGCCTGGAGTCCCCTTTGTTACATCTACTCCTTCACTCTCCTTCTCCTCCCCACCTCCTCCCAATCATCTAGAAAGCCTCATCAGATCGGGAATCAAGATGGTTCCTCTCACACCTAACATAGCACGGTCAAGTGTTCTGACATCAACTATGCTGAACTCTCCCACATACAAAACTGTGCCTGTTTCACCACCAGAGTCTCTCTCAGCTCTCCCCTCTAATTTTTCACCCAAACCTCCCCCTACTCCACCTCCTCGGTCCTTACATGGTCCCTCACCCAAACCTCCCCGTATTCCACCTCCTCGGCCCTCACCTGGTCACTCACCCAAACTCTCCCCTGCTCGCCCTCCCCCGCCTTTCCCCAGAGCTGTTATCACCAAGAGCTAGGACGCACAGGGCCTCTGCTGTCCCAGGACATACAGTCATGATAAAGGTAATATCAGGCTGGGGCCCTGCGATGGAGCTATATCTACAGTTACAACACACATAGACGGATTAAAAGAAGGACAGTTAGACTGTCTAATCAGAGAAATTTAGTTCACATTCCCTGTAAGAAGATAACATCCAGTCCTACTGAAACTAATCAGAAACTTGCTGTGCTCAATGTCAGATCTTTATGTAACAAATCATTTCTAATTCATGATTTTATTTCTTCTTTTAATCTTGACTTTATATTTTTAACTGAAACATGGCTTGACAAAAACACAGGTCATGCAGTGCTAGTGGAATCAACCCCTCCTAACTTCAAATTTGAATCTGAAACACGAGCAAATAAAAAGGGTGGAGGAGTGTGTGCATTTTTTAGAGATCATTTGGTTACACACAGGTTGTCATTTGGGGTGTTTTCATCATTTGAGTATGTTTCCTTCAAAATGGAGCTAAAACAATCACCGTCCATACTCTACATAGTCATATACAAACCTCCTCAGCACTGTCAAAGTTTTATTGATGATTTTACTGAGATGCTTTCAGTTGTTTGCACAGACTTTGATGGTTTAGTCATTACAGGTGATTTTAATGTACATGTGGATAATGTGTGTGACAAAAATGCCAAAGAGCTTAGTGTTGTCCTTGAAACTTTTGGTCTGACTCAGCATGTTAGTGAGCCCACTCACAACAGAGGGCACACTCTGGACCTGCTCATTACAAAGGGTGTAAATATTTCAAATGTCAATGTGGTTGATGTTGCTCTGTCTGATCATTTCTGTGTCTTCTTTGACCTGTCTGTTATTCCCAAACCACCGGCTGCTCCTACAGTTGTTCGAAGAAGACACATAAATGATCACACAGGTGCACTGTTCATGGAAATGATAAATTTTGAAATTGCCTCATGTTCTAATGTTGATGATGTGTTGAACTCTGTGACTTTGAGTGTTTTGAATGT